ATCTACACCGCCGTTGTTCGACCAATGCTAACTTACGGTGCGGTGGTATGGTGGACTAGAACTTCTAAGTCTACCGCCACCACTGCGCTTAATAGAATACAGAGACTCGCGTGTCTGTATGTTACAGGTGCGCTGCGATCAACCCCCACAGCGGCCATGGAAATCATGTTAAATTTACCACCACTCAACCTACATATCCAGGAAGTGGCGTTGGTAACCATGAAACGACTACAATCAGTAGGAACTATGAAGGATGAGGACGCTGGCAGCAGTTCAACACTCTGGAGGGAAGCAGTGCTAGACACACCCCTACTCGAGTGTAAGACTGATCACAGACCAGCAAAATATGTTTTCTCAAGGAAGTACCTCACCCACGTCAGTCCCACAGTTGTAGATGTACATAGAACTTTAAAGATCTACACTGATGGTTCAAAAGGACGAAATGGTGCAGGCGCGGGGGTATTCTCTCACGATCCCCTGATTCGCCTCTCAGAACCTTTAGGGTCCAGCACCACCGTCATACAAGCGGAACTAACTGCTATTAAACTTGCTGCTGACTGCATTGTTGAATCCAACAAGCGGGGTAAGTGTTTTACTATTTTTACAGACAGTAAACAATCTCTTTTAGCTTTAAGCAGAGTTATTATAACGTCTGCAGTAGTTATGGATTGTCACAAAGCACTGGAGGAGGCCGCGAAATACAATTCTGTCAGAATCCAGTGGATTAAAGGGCATTCCGGCTCCAAGGGTAACAACCACGCGGACAGGCTAGCCAAACGTGCTGCCGGTAGAGCGCCCTGTGCACCCGAGCCGATAATTACCCCCTCCTTAGCCACTCATATCGAGTTAATAAAGCACATTACCCACAAAAAATTTTTAAACGGGTGGGACCGTACCCCGGGCTGTCATCTCGCTAAGGAATTGTTAAAATATCCTTCAGCCGCAACAGCCCAGTTTTTCGTAGGGCTCGGTAAAAGTGCCCTTCGCACTGCCACAGGTCTCCTCACGGGACACTGTAAAGTAAATAAGCACCTTCAAAACATGAAGCTTGCTGACTCTCCTCTCTGTCGAGCCTGTGAACAGGATGACGAGACGGTTAAACACATCTTGTGTGATTGCCCCTCTCTGACCGACCTCAGATTGAGGACCTTCGGGGAGGAATGGCCAACCACAGATGACATCAGGAATGCACCTCTAGGAGCTGTCCTAGCCTTTGGTAAATCCTTAGGCTGGTTGATGTGACCAGAGCGTGTAATGGGAGGATGCACAAGGGGCCCAATGGGGCCTAAGTGTAGCGTGCGGTTTTGCATGCATCCCAATCCATACATACATGCCTTTATTATAATTTCGCTTGTAGATTTAGCTGATGATGATAAGTATCGAAACCGGTACTAAGTATATTTATTAGAAAACTGAGAAAGAGCTCTTTTAATTTTTACCTTATTTTAAATATAAAAGAAACTTTAAATAAAACATTAAATTGAATTAAAATGAACGCAAAAATTGCAATTAAGAAAACAGAATTGTAGCAATTATGCAAAAATGTTTTTAAATTAATTATAAAATAACTTTTTAACATAAATTAATTAATAGGATCAATGTAATGCATACGCAATCGTAATTACATCTAGCATAAAAACAAAATTCACCTCGATTCACATTGATTTATGTTGAGTTTGAATAACGTCGGTTTGAAGCTTTGCACAAATAGCTATACAGTAAATATTATTTGAAGCTGAAGGTATTTTATTTGCCAACGGGTCGTACATTGGCGCAGCTTTAACATTTGAGGGAGACACACAGAAAGACAAACGCTAGTCATTATTTACAGAAGATTCGCTCAATAGCGCAGCTCGCGGGTTTAATGATGAAAATGGGCCATATCAGTTCAGGTTGGTAGAGGCAGCTGCGCCGTTTCTGTTATAAATCGTACCGAAATTACGGTTGTTTACGATGAGCTACCGAGGGAATCTCCATGCAAATAAGCCGGTGTAAAAGTTGCTTGCCTCTGACTGAAGAGCATCTTTCGTTTGAAATAATAAGCAAAGTGTGCTTTCTCGTGCTTGTTTCTTTTTGTTAAGCGCAACATTCGTCAATGTCTACTCTTTCCGTTTGTAGTCTCACTTCTTTTAAAAACCCTTCACCGCGGAACGAAGTTTTTCAAGTAGCGCAATGTTACGTAAAAACCGCTACTCCATATTATCTCATATTTTCCTTTTATTTAAAATATATAAGTTAACAATTTAAATATTCAAATATAAGAACTCGCATTAAATTTACATTGTTTAATAACATCGTTTACCTTGGCAAATATTAACATTGCATTGAACTAGATTGCATAAGGATTAGTTAATAGACGGTGAGATATTCATCGTGAGTGAATATACTAGTTTGGAGACTACATCCCTAGTAATGTGTACAATGATATATTCATTTTGGTGGTAATTAGCTTCAGTGTACTCCTAGAACATAACAGCATTAATCATTTCATTCTCTATAATGATATATTATTTGATGACAACGAAAATTAGTATGAAAATGAAAATCTACAGTAATTTACTTCCAATTTATTTCAGATATCAATTAACAATCTTTTCCCTAATTCGGTGCTATGTAATAAAGAAATAACGCATTTAACACAACTTTTGAACAAACTTTAATTGGAAAGATTGTTCAACAAGATTAACGCCATTTGGTGTAATTTGATTACTATGCAATTACATTGATAATCATTGACCCGGTTTTATAAAGCTTAATCAATGCCAAATTAACTTGATCGAACGATAAAGTGATGTGTCCAACGATCACACAATGAGAATGCTTAATAAACGTCATATTAAAACTCGATTAACATGATGACCCGAGCAATTAAATTTCTCTTAACGAAAAATAACGAATTTTGGTATTAACGTGTCATTTTTCGCCTGAAGGACTCTTAAAAAAAATGTTTCATTGAAAACGAGGTTGGTGATGCATTAATTAAACATCTAAGATATCGCAGCACGATAATTCAGTTCTTTGTATATCATTTGCAAGATACTAGTTGTAAAGGAATGTGGTTACACCAACATCATTTTCAGTGACCACGCCAACGTTCACTTCGATAGTTTGACAGGCATAATATAAGTTTGAAAGTTTCAGCTCCCAACTTTGATGCCCAACCTTTATTCTCCTTAACATGATTTATTTTTAATTTTTCGTCCTTTTTTTTCATTTCAGTTTTTCAATGATGTTTCCTCGTATTGTTTCAAAAATGCTGTTTTGTATTACGTGTTGAAAAGAATGGAATTCTTTTCAGAGCTGAATTCCACATATGTAGGTATTTTATCATATTTGACAAACACATGCGTATATTAAAAAGAGGTTATAATGGTTTTATTTTAATGCAGTTCGTGGAAATATCTACGGAATTTCGATATTGACATCGGGGATCGAATCAATGATTTAACGCATTTGATGAAGGCATCCCACGCACAGCAGCCGCAGTAATTAAGGATTTCATCGAAGGGCGTGTAGACGATTCATTTCTATGAAGGCACAAAACGTCGTCTCGCCAATCGACGAGCGATTTAAAAGGCGCAAAATTAAATTATGGAGAGTGCTTTCGATTCCTTCCTTTTCAATTCCATTTTGGATCTATTATCAATTCTTTTTTTTATAAGGGTTCGACAGGTTAATTATATTTTAGTGTGTCATCTCGAATTTTCCTTAAATAATATATTTCCGTTTGTTTAAGTGGATAAGTAAGTTTCTTTTTGAGAAACTTAATTTTTAAAACTAAAAGTTTTAAAAGTTAACAAATTCCCTTTGCGGTATTAAGGTGCTTAATATACTTCAAGTTAAAGTTTTATACTGAAGAGGTCGACTTAGAATAACTAAGTTTTTTAGTTTTACCACCTTTATTATTAAACACATTTTCTTTAAAAAAAATTACAAGTTTATGAAATCTATCCTAATTACTGGATATTAAAATAATAAACAAATAAATATAACTTCTTATCTTGCAAAATTCAATTTATTTTAACGGAACCGGTTTCGACTAGTTTTACTTACAATTAGTCATCTTCAGCCGAATCTACAAATATATTTTAATTAGATTGTTAATGGTTCTTACAGGATAGTTATTACTTTTAGCCAATTCAAAAATGAAATTCAATTCCTTATTTTGATTTACTGTGGAAAGAGGATAACTAAAGAGTCTATTAATGAGAAATCTAAAGCTTGCCATTTTATTCGAAAAAGGATGATTTGAATCGAATGGGATTATTGTAGAAATTGAAGATGGTTTTCTATACACATCGAAATGTATTGTGTTATCGATTTTGATTATAGCTAAATCCAAAAAGTTCAAGATATTATCTCTTTCTAATTCCATGGTAAATTTTAAGTTATCGTGAAGTTGATTAATATGATTATGAAACTCATTTAACGTGGTTAGATCTCCCTCCCAAACACAGAAAATATCATCAACATATCTTAACCATTTGACTATATGTTTTTTATATGGGTTCAAGTTGTTTAGTATATATTCACTTTCATAATGATCGAGGAATATATCTGCTAATATACCAGATAAGGGCATACCCATAGGTAAACCTTCATTTATTTTGTAATTTTTGTTATTGAAAGAGCAATAGTTCTGAGTGATAATGTGTTTAAGAATTTTATTCAGATTATTGAAATTTCTTATATTATCTATTTGATTTTCAAAAATTTTAGTTATTAAGTTTAAAGTTAGATGTATGGGAATGTTTGAATAAAGATTAACTATATCAAATGAAACCAAATATCTTCCCATAGGATCTATATCTCGTATCTCATTAATAAATTGTTTGGTATTATGAATTGTATATTTTGGTTGAAAATTAAGTTTTTGAAAAATTGAAGCATGAAATTGGCTAGTTTTGCAGTAGGTGAATTGTTAAAAGAAGTTATTGGCCTGATGGGCATATTTTGTTTATGTAATTTAGGAAGAGCGTAGAGTTTCGGAATTTTGGAATTCATGTGTATAAATAGAGTACTGAAGAAAGAAAGGAGACTATCTTACTATTGGGATCAATATGCGAGGAATATTCGATTAAGGTACTTCTGCATGTGTTTATAATTTCGCGGATCTTTCTAATAACTGTGTCTAAGGGATTCTTTTCAAGTTCAACATAATGGTTTTCTGACATAAATTGTTCGGTTTTGTTAATATATGTTTCTTTATTTAATATTACAATGCCAGCCCCTTTGTCAGCTTTTGTGAATGTGGCATTATTTTCGTTTAATTTACGTTTGATGTTTTTCAGAGTTTTCCATTGTTGAATCTGAGATAAATTATATTTTTTAATATTTTTTTCTGCCTTTTCAATGTGTGGTATTAGGTCGTTCTTTATTTTGTTATATTCGGGTTGTTTTCTAATTATATTATCTAATTCAACAGTTAAGATAGGTAAGTTAATTTTTGGGATTAAAGAAAATTTGTAACCTTTATTTAAAAGATTTGTTTCTTCCTCCGTGAAGTTAATGTCAGTTAAGTTCTGGAACTGGACATTGTTCTTTGGTTGGTCTGTTGGATTAGTTTTCATTTTGGCCATTGTGTTTTGATTTTTCTTCAAAATTTGTAGTTTTAGATTTTTACGTCTTTTATCTTCTCGTTTTATGTGCAGTGTCTGTGTTGTTATAAAATTTGCTCTATGTGACTGTGGTTAGACCTATGATCACATACGGAGCAGCAGCCTGGTATAGGAAAGTCCGACAGACTTCAGTTATCAGTAAACTTTCACGAATTCAACAAAAAGCTGGATTGGCAATCTCTGGTGCGATAGGCACAACGCCAACTCTAGCAATGGAGGTTCTGCTTGCCCTATCTCCTCCGCATTTGCATATAGAAAAAGTGGCTAGAACAACCATTTACAGATTTAAGCAATATGCTCAAAACTGTTCCGACATGTCCTACCAATGGGCTGCGGAAGACATTATAAGCACTGATACTGTGCTATCAATGCCGTCAGATTTGGCGGTATCACTATCAGTGATTAATGCTCGATACCAGAATGTACTGCCTGAGTGGCAGTCCTGGATCGAAAATAAAAATTCTCTGGTTCGGGCAGACATTTGCTTGTACACAGATGGATCAAAAACGCCTGAAGGGGTAGGAGCAGGAGTATACTGCCAGACACCTCGAATTAAGCAAGCCTACAGCCTGGGTACGTACTGTACTGTATTCCAGGCGGAAGTATTTGCTATTGACATGGGTGCTAAAATCCTTCTTGAAAGAGGGGTGAAGAACATGACAGTACGAATTTTCTCAGACAGTCAAGCCGCTCTCCAGGCGCTGCAAGCCGTGAAAACGGTGTCGGCTCTGGTTAATGATTGTAAGAGAACATTAAACACACTGAGTTGTGATAACAGAGTCTCTCTGATCTGGGTCCCGGGTCACTCTGGGGTTGCTGGCAATGAAGCGGCAGATAAGCTAGCACGAGATGGCAGCGCTGAAGCGTTTGTGGGACCGGAACCAGCAGTTGGTGTATCATTTGCGATGGCCAAATATAGGATTGGACTGTGGGCTGAAGAGAGACTTCGCCTACTGTGGACCAGTTCTCCTGGAATGAGACATGCTAAGGTGTTTATTAACATCGCCACTGTCAAACCCGGGAATATTTTAGGACTTGCCCGTAGTAGCATAAAAGTTCTAATGGGTGTTTTTACTGGGCACTGCCGATTAAAAGCACACCTCAACTTGTTGGGTTTAGCCGACGATGTTGAATGCCGACTATGTGCGGAGGAAGCAGAGACGGTTGAGCATGTTTTATGCCACTGCCCTGCCGTTAACCGTATCAGATTCTCGATTTTTGGGTCGCAGTTTATCTCCTCAAAAGATCTGAATGACCTTTCGCCGAGCAAGGTATTAATGTTCGTTAAGAGCATTGGACTGCACGGTGAAATTTGATAACGATATCTATCGGGGTACAATAGATCCTTAGGGTCGCGGTGCAAGGTTGGTTGGTCCGCCTACCCGATATGTATTCTATGTAATGTAATGTAATGTTATAAAATTTAAAACTTCCTCAATTTCCAAGAAGTGCAATCGTTCTCTTAGACAACGGTTGATTTTAGCAAGTTTATCATAACAGAAATTAAGTGTCTTAAAATGTTTTCGTTTTTCTACACGTAAAATCTTTTTATGTATGAAGTTCAAAGTTGACATTTTTATGTTTTTACAGTTCACCTTAGCAAAATTTGGAATGATATTCTCCCTGATGCAGCAATTAATGAAATTTATATGATTCTTTGTAGTTTCCAATTTTATGTAGATTTTTCTGAGTCCATGGATTAATGAAGAAGTGGTATTCTGATTATAACTGTTGATATCCATGTTGCAAGTTTAGTTTAAATATTAAAATAATAAACAAATAAATGAGTGAAAAACAAAATTATTGAATTTAAGCTCAGTGACCTTATATGGCGTTTTCTTTCTTGAGCTTTTAATTATTTTAATCCAGTCATCTGGGCCATAAAGCAGTCAGTGTTTACTATTTTTTTCTATGACACCAAAATCCGCGTCATTTGGCAGATAGGAATGCCCAGATATCATGAATATCACATTAATTGTCTTGGCTGCAGTAGACGCTTCATTGCACAGCTTCAGTAATTGCACTGATAAATTAATATTTCGATTTTGCCCTCCGCAAGTGTCGCAGTATAAAGTTATTTCAGTACAATTTTTAGCGTTATTTTTTAAATGCTTGTAAAGCACTGTAGATATTTCTTGCGAACCCCTGCCTCCCTCTGTTTCATTCCATACAAACATTTCAGGTGGTCCGGAATTAATTGGATGAACACCGCAATTATACATGTACAAATTTCGTTTATAATAAGCGACGGACGTGGTTAGTTTTGGAAATGCTAGAGCCTTCTGCAAGTCAAATGTACAAGCATAATAATTTTCTGAAACTTGTGAAGCCTCATTCTTCAACTCATTTCTAATTTTTTCTGCTTGAGACAAATGCATTTTTCTTTCAGTCTCTATTTTTGTTATAATAGATAGATCCTTTTCTGAAGCCAAAGCAATATTCCATTGGTCACATTTCTTGCATGTGTCTTTGTAGGGTATTTTAAAATGCAAATTATACTTTGTAGTGAAAACATTATAGTAACATTTTTCCTTACATGGAATTTTTCCTTCTAATTGACATTTGTCTACATACAACTCGTACATTTTGTTTATTGACAATTCGGAATTTAAATATTTCCTATTAGGATTGTGATGACGTGTGTAGTGGCTGGTAAATGCAGGGAATGACTCAATATGTGATCGGATTTCAGTTTCATCAATTTTGTTACTTGACGGATGCCTCCCACGTGAATCCAATATAGCATGTACCTCATGTTTTGTTAAGCACCTGTACACCCTACCCCAACTGAGGTTTATGGTATTCAAAAAATATTTCTTACAAACTAAAGTACTTTTATCTTTTAGATCGAGATAATATTCAAAAGTACGTGACCGAGAGGCTTTCGGTCACCATCCCTAATACGAGATCTTTGTGGTACTTTGATCTTTATAGCGCCTCGTAGAAATGTATTTTGCTTTGAATAATCTTTAAGCTTCCAAAATGAAGTGAAAAACATTTCGCGCTACTCTTCTGTCACTTTATCTTTACATTTCGCTGGACACTTGCAATCATAATTCTGTTTAAATTGTTTTGCCGATATGGATTTACCTTTACGCGTAGTGTAGGCTTGACCACTATTTCTGAGTAACTTATTAACATTTTGTTTCCAAGAATCTTCATCTCTTTCTCGCTTACGACCTATTTGCTTATATCTTTTCTTTCTACTGGTACTAGTGCAAGTAGAAGGTACATCATCAACAGCACTATTACATTCTTCTAAATCTAACAGCGAAACTGACGAAATAACAGTTGATACTGTTTCTTTATTATTATTACAAAAATCTAAAATAGTATCTATAGTAGTTTTATTATGTTGGAAACGTGTGTATTACACAGTAAAATTTCGTTATAACGCTCCCTGGTTTTCGGATTTTACAAAAGTAAACTTTTTGTTTAAACGGATAGAAATTTAAAAGTAAGTTTTAGCATCTTTATGATTTCTCAGTTATAGCGTTTTCCCGGTTATGGCGCTCTTTTTCTTATGTCCTTAGAAGAGTGTTATAACGAATTTTTACTGTTTATGTACATACCATGGTCAGAAAGACTTAAGTCCTCGAATTCTTTATTAGAACCTGTGTTCAAATCCATCACTAAATTAACCACACAAGAAATTCACATGAAGATTGCAATGACAGATTATAAAAAGAGCTGTCAGCGACAGTTGAGAGTTCTGACTTAGCCCACTTTATCACAGAATCTTAAGCTACTTGGACTTGGTTCATTTTTTCAATGAAAAATGGTGCAAATCATTCAGTATTAAAGTAAACTAGCGTACATTATTGGTAACCTGATGAACTAAGTATTGAATAAGTCAGCACATAAAATTATAACTATTCAAACGGACCTAAGTATACTCTTAACTAAATTTGAGAAAAAAATAGACTTGGTTCACTTTCCTTCTGACCAACTCAAATATAACTTCTTATCTTGCAAAATTCAATTTATTTTAACGGAACCGGTTTCGACTAGTTTTACTTAGTCATCTTCAGCCGAATCTACAAATATATTTTAATTACAATTTAATAATTAAAAGTTAAAATTCTTATAGAACTTACGGTCAATAAAAAAATAAAATCAACATCACAAAGAGCAGACATATAAATAACATTTTAAAAAATGTGAAATTACACTTTAAAATATAATATATAAATAAATAAACTGTAAAAAGACAAAACCGATGTACAAAATAACACTAAAATGGAATTACTACTACTAATTACTGGAAATAAGAATTTCATGTCAATTATACTAATGAAATGTATGCCAAGAAATAATTTAGGGCAGTAGGTTATACAAAAGACACGCGTTTTAAACTGGCAGACTGGACTCATCGTGTATAAATAAATTGTATTAAGAAATTACTTGAAGGCCATTCCGAAATTAACGCCGAGACGAAGCGATCTGCTCGCTTACTTATTAATAACCCGTTATTGGCCCGTTGTCTGGTGGTCCTATTAAAAGGTGCTGTGTAAAACCGGAATTCGGAATAAATTTTTAAAACTTCATTTCTGGCAAAAATCGCGTCCCCATTCCATTTGCTTCTCCTTTTTATCGCCGGACCCCACGCGGTGTACATTTTTCAACAAACTGAGAACAATGTGTAGCGTATCGCGTATTCTCTGGAGTAATTTATATGGACAGGGAGCGGCTGTAGATCCGGAATTAACGTGAACTTCCGCACCGGTACACGGAAAAAAATGGATGTCGAAATAATTTATGAGGTCACTGTTAGCCAACGATCTTGTGTTTACTCGACAGACTTTGGTATTCCCTTTCTAAAGTTTCCATAGCGTAAGTAAAATGTTCTCGACTCTTTGGCGACATTGAAAAATCAATATTCATTTTAATGAAGGTAAATGTTTAAAACTTATTAATTCATTTTAAAATGTAAACAGATATTTTATGAATGAAACACTTATAAAAGTAAAGTATACAAAACGCGAGTTTCATTTTAAACACTCACAAAACCGCTGATATCAATTCTGGCATCTAACAATAAATCCAAGTTTATGGATTCTAACTTTGGAGTTCATCCAAGTAGAACAATATAAAATCAAGTCTTTCGAATTTAAGTAGTGAACATAATCAATATTACGAAAGAAACTATATTTATCTTCTTTATTTGCTTCAACAATCTGTAGCGTAAGAGAAGTCCCCACTATAATCTACTGCAATATTAATATTTGCAGAACGTTGAACATGATGCTCCTGCAATATGCTCGCGCACGATAAATCACACTCAGAGACGAGACTTTCAGCTACTTTCATGTAGGGACCTGAATTTTCCATTTAGTTCCACAAGCTTCTGTTGAAAAGTACTCTCTTCGTACAAATAAAACATGTGATATGTAAAGCTCATATTTACATTCGACGATTGCATGATTGGTATACGGCTTGCGGTTGTCCCATCGATTTTAGTACTAATTAATCCAAACGCGTGTCGTCGGCTGACACGCGTCACTAATGTTTGCCGGTAATTTCGGTTTGATTGAACGACTGGTTCAGCTACGGATATTATGCGGCTAGAATAATGTCAATGTTATAGCGTTTCAATTTAAAAATGTTTACACTACAATCGCAATCTAAACACAAAGAGAGAACGAATAAAGTTTTAGGCAATTGTCAGAGTTTTGGCACAGAGTTCACTCTCCACTAGAACAGAACTAATTCGGAGAGAAGATTCCTTTAGTGATTTTCGTGGTTTACCTCTCCTCTTGGAAACTCGCACCGTCGAATAGGATGCACGTGTACGCCACGTTTTCCCCGATGGGAATTAATTTGATTTATTCACGACTTTTGGCCATTAGCCCGAAGCACTTCTTCGTTCAAGGAAAACCTTTCACCTACCCGCACCTACACAAAAACTAAATGGCTGTACGGGAATTTTCACTTGGGCGAGTAATCCTCAAATCCCTTCCCGAAATAAAGGAGAAAAATTGCTCGACGTTCTGGAAACACTTCCAAGTAATAAGACGAAATTAAAACACAACTAACGTTAAAATAACAATAAGCTCTAAAAAGAGAAACGAACGAAAGAACTAAAATATTCTAAAATTTATTATGTAATTTCATTCTTTCTCACAATTTTCCACAATGAAATTTCAGAAACGACCACAATCTTCGCGCAATCAGGACACAAGACAAGAGTGTTGCCGATTCAATGAGAACGACTGAAGTGGAAATCACCCTATTTCGATGTTATAAGGGAACAATCACGACATGGTTGGTCATACAATTGGAGGTGGAATCTATTTCACAAACTATTTCCGACAATTTAAATTAAACAAGTAGCCCACAGCAATACGGTCACGAATTGCTTAGAATACATGTAGAGTCGGTTAAGTGTGTCTTAAGCCGTCTAAGTTGGAATCTTTGCATAACCAGGTTACCAACAGCCCTAAGTAGGAGAAAGGGCCGTAGATGGCAAGTCGCGACCAACTAAGATTTACAACAAAGTTCTCGGATTTAGCAATTTACGCTGGATTAACTTAGTCGGACTATGAATTATGTTGCCCATGGATGGTGTATAAGCAGTGATTAAGAGGTATACGACAGTAAACAACGGAATACAAATTTTGATGACTTTATGTAACTTCATATTATGTATTTCTATGTACGATAAATAGAAATTAAAAAGATTAATTAAACCAGATCATATTATAAAAAAGAAAGTAGGGAATTCGATTTTGCAATGATAAATGGGCGCTAAAAAGCAGAGTTGAAAAATAAGTAGCAATATTTAACATAGCTGAATATTGAAACACTATTTTCTACATTTAAACGGATTAATGATTATGTTCCATATTAACTCTGCACTTTTATTTACAGTGTAATGTATAATGTAATGTACAGGGTGGGCCAAATTGGGCACTTTTAAAGGGAAATTCCTATTTCTATAAAAGATAGAGTAAAAATGATACCAGTGTCTGAGGCTCGATTTTTATAAGAAACTTAATGGCGAAAACTGCATATCGATATCTCTTACGGTTTCAGAGATACAGAGTGTTTTTCAAAAAAGTACATTTTCGAAAAGTCGTCAAAAGTTTTTCTTATTGATAAATCTTCTGTTCTGTGAAAACATTTCCAAAGCAACTTTTTATGTAGAATTCGATGGAATAAGTTACCTTCTTTTAAAACAATATTTTAGCAATTATTGACGTAAAAATGCCTTTTTAGATGGAACACCCTATATATTTTTGCAAATTCGACGAGTGTATAAAATTTCCTTTCCAAAAATATAGCACACTTGATATTTCGTTCAAGTCTTCTTCCCCGTCTTCATTCAGTATACAGGGTGTATCTGAATGACTGCAACAAACTTCAAGGGGTGATTCTTTAGTGAATTTAAGGGTACTTTAATATATGAACCATGGGCGACTTCAGCTCCCCTAAGTTTAATTAAGGTTTAATTTTTTTTTCTCAAAAACCATAAACGCTTTTGCATTTCTGCGAAAATTTGTTGTATGCAGATGATAAATACATTAGAAAAATTTTACATAGATAGATGAAAGTATTCTAAAACTTTTTTGTCTCTCTGAAATTTTTCCAAAAACGACTAATTTTTGAGAAAAAAAATAGTAAAGCAAACACTGCCCGTTAAACAATGGGGTTGTCGATCAAAAGTTGGAATGAATTTTGAATGAAAAAATCTTAATAGGCGTTGCAAACTTTGTCAGAAATATTTTTGACGTTTAAATGTCAGTTTTTCTTACTATTATTATTGTTTTTCAAATTAATTTTTGAATAAAGTTCTATCGTATTTACGCTCGTTCACTCGACGTTTCAAAATTTTAAATATATTATTCCCCAAATTTCTTTTTCCTAGCGTTTATGGTTTTTGAGAAAAACAAATTAAATTAAAATTTTCCGCCATTTTTGGAGGGGTGTAGCTCGTTAGGGGAGCCGAAATCGTCCATGGTTCATAATCAAAGTACCCTTAAAATTCACTAAAGAATCACCCCTTGAAGTTTGTTGCAGTCATTCAGATACATGCTCTTTTAATCTGCTCCGTATGTTATAAATCACCCTGTATAAGTTTTTGATCTTTTCTTTTCAAATTGGCCGCTAGTTTGTAGATTATGTCACAATCTTCTAAAAATATCATTAAAAAGTTGCCGCCTCTCTGGATATCGTTCATGATATAAATTTTCCAATCTACATAAAAAGTTGCTTCGGAAATGTTTTCACAGAAAGGAAGATTTATCAATAAGAAATCGTAACCGTTTCTGAAAAACACCCTGTATCTCTGAAACCATACGAGACATCGATATGCTGTTTTCGCCATTAGGTTTCTTATAAAAATCGAGCCTCAGACACTGATACCATTTTTACTCTATCTTTTATAGAAAGAGGAGTTTCCCTTTAAAAGTGTCCAATTTGGCCCACCCTGTACAGGGTGTCCAAATTTCGATGTGTTTGCAGGGTATCTCAGTTATTATGAAAGATAGAAAGTTGCGGCTTTCGCGAACCTGAGCTACTTTTTTGTGAAACTTACAATGGCGCAAACCAAATTTTCGTAGCCCTCTTCGTTTTTGATATACAGGAAGTGTTTCAAAATTTACGATTTTCAAACACCTCCTGTATCTCGGCTATCAGTAAACGTAAAAACGGGTTCTAATAGATTTTTGCACGTAGAATCCAATGGTGCACGTAGAATTTTTCTAGTCATCACGGTTTTTGAGTTATAAAGAGCTGAGTATTTTAGAAATTGAGTATTCAGTATTTGAGTTATGTTTATAACTCAAAAACCATAATGACTAGAAAAATTCTACGTGCACCATTGGATTCCACGTGAAAAAATCTATTAGAACCCGTTTTTACTTTCTTACTAAGTTTACCGAGATAGCCGAGATACAGGAGGTATCTGAAAATCGTAAATATTAAACACTCCCTGTATATCAAAAACGAAGAGGGTTATGAAAATTTGGTTTGTGCCATTGTAAGTTTCACAAAAAAGTACAGGGTGGACCAACTTGGGTA